ACCGCCATGCATTTCCCCCACCAATTGATTGGCAAGCAGGGCCACGATTTCAATATCGAGGAAGAAGCATATTAACAGCAGCATCAGCAGCAGAATAAGAAAAGAGAAAAAAGCCCACCACAGGGGTACGGAGTGCACGTGCGCTTTGCCTTTCCTCCGCCGTTCGACGATTCGATGTTTATATTGTGTTTTACGATTCGATTAGCCTGCGTTGCATGCGGGCTTCCATTGGTCAACAGCACACCACCGAAGGCTCCAAATCTGAGTTTTGTGATCTTGATCTGCGTCGGTGTTACTATTAGCTCTTGTTATGGTTCCCTTTCCTTTCATGAGCTTTCAGGACTGTGAGCGAGCTAGTAGCGCTTCGTTTCGTTAATTCCTTTTTCCATATTTTTTTGCAGGATTTCCCCCGCGTGCTCACATTTCTTATTCACTTTCATTATTATATTTAGTTTTTTTTTCCCTTCTTCGTCGGCCTGCGAAATATATATATATATTATTATTTCACGAGTCAAATCAAAAGGCACGAGCCCAGATGTCCGAACCAGTGGTGTAGAAATATCAGTGGCGGCGAAGACATCCACCATCGTCGCCCCACCCGACCTCGTTTGTCTCCTCCACTCACCTCACCCTGCGAGCACCGTCTATTCCATCGTAAGTTGTTTTGTTGTGTTATTATTTTGTTTTGCACACCCGTTGTTCCTTTTTCTTCGAACACGTATTCTTCCCAGCCAGCTAAGCTAGGGCTTTAGAGTAGATGCGATAGATCAGTCCTTTTGTAAACACGACGACTCGGGACGACCCTTTCGAGATTGCCCTCGCTCACTCACTCACTCACTGGGGCGTAATCTATCGGGTCTTGAGTAAAGATGAGTGAATTAGGTAGGTAGCTTAGGTGGTTAGAGTAGAATCAGTAGATGTGCATGTAAGCAAGCAAGTAATTATGTGGAGCGGCCGCCGTCGAGTGGATATGTCTCACTCACATTCAACCTCTCCTCTATCTATTTTTACGTCCCCTCAACCAGGCGCGTTTCAAATGCGTCTATCACAGCCTGTCACTCGATCGCGGGGATTATCGTTCCCTCACTTCCACAACCACCTTCGAACCTACATACAATCATACCTACATACATACCTTTCTCATCCTCAACCCGACCAACCGATGTTTGCAGGTGTTTCGAAAGAACATAAAGATCCTGGTCTCGGTCGAGGACAAAATCTCGAATCGAGATCGAGTATCGAATAGAGATGAGTAAAGTCAATCAGGATCTGCGAGGTAGGTTTGTATTTAACCCAGCGCAACCCGGTCAAGGAGGGAATCAATATCGACTTGCCTGCTGCTAGTGTTGCTAGCTGGCTGCCAACATACAGACAGACAAAATAAATAAAACAAGTAGAGGTGGTGGTGAGGATGTAAGAAAATAAGATAACATGGTATGCCAGTAGAATAGAGACATACCTACCCATGAAAAGGCACAGCCAGTAGAGTGACGGCATATCATCCATCTAGTCAATCAAATTTTAGTCAATCAGTCAGTCAATCAATCATGATCAGGCAGGCACGCAGGCAGATAGACCGTAGAGTACCCGACCAGCCACCGGCCGGCATGGCAGGCAGGTCTAGTTGTTTGACCAGAGAGAAGCTACTCCACCCACCCACCCACCCACCATCATCCAAGGAAAAAAACGAATAGCATGCACATAAAGCTTGGTTGTCAAGACATACACCATTCCCGAACGGGGTAATAAATATATCTCCAGTAGTAGGCGACCTCGGGCGTCCACCGTCAAGACATCCAAGCAGTGTCAAAGGCCCCCAAAACCGAGATATGTATTCTAGCTACAATGCCCCAACCACCGTACGGCCGTACACGCATGTATCGGGCGAGAAACGAACAAGTGGTAATCGCCGATAGCGGAAGGGGGGAAGGACCTTTATGTATCAGTGTAGAGTGCTCCATGTGTATATATCTTTTTTCGGTCTAGGTTGGTTTTGTAGAGCAGAGTGAATGATAGTTGCTGCACGATATCATATCGATGACTCGACTTTTCTCTTTCTTCCATCCTTCGCTGCTTCTACCGCATAGAGTCTTTCTTGTTTAATTTTTTCTCCTTTCTCTAATTTGTTGCTCTGCTGCAGTTAGTAGCTCCGAGTGATGGTTCTACTTCTAACTAGTCTCATGTCTTATCCCACTTCATGAGGATCGAGTTGAGTTGCTTCCGCTCTCCTGCTTGCTTGCTTGCTGGCAGCATATCATACTTTTACTCTACTCTAACTCTACCATAGTGAGTTTAAACCCCGAAAGTACGGGGACAAACCCGTCAGTGTGATATGTCGCCATTGAGGTTTCCTGAAACGGTCAAGAGCCGGAATAATCCTCGAGGAAAAGAAAAGAAAATCCTCACGAACTCTAAGATATGTAGTAGGTTACGAGCTAAGGTAAGGAGTAAGAAGTATTAGCATGAATTGGAGAATGAGGGAAGGGAAAAAAGGGTTGCGGCGAGTGAGGAAGGGTGGGAGGGACGGTGCAAGATATCATGCAGAAGATAAACCGCACAGCGCGCACTAAATATGTAGGTACTTTATGAGTATTTGGTTAGCTGCCTTACTACTACTTTTCTCTAAACTAGAGGAGAGCAGCAGCATGTGCGATACTCAACACCAGAAGAAGAAAACATACTTTACCTACTTTACTCTATTGTGCAGCGCAGCAGCATATCATGTAGTCTATGATGGATCGGAACATTCCCTGCTGTCCACGAGATTGACGGACTACCCCTCACTGTTTCCGTTGCATGCGCTGCAGCATCCATCCACGGTATTATGATTTTATTTTTTATTTTGTTGCTTGCTCCTTCCCTCATACATATCAAATTCCGGGAAATAATATCATTTCGCTCTGCATGCCTTACACGATATCAACGAATAGAGTGCATAGGAAGGAGTCAATGTAATAGAGTAACGTACTCGGAGAAGGCAGGTATGCGTGGCCGAACCGACCCTGACCTGACCTTACCTGGGGCATTATCAATTTTCTGATATCGCTTAATTTGCTTGATCCCTTCATACCAGTGCCGTACCAGGCTGAATCGAATGTCGAACCAGAGATTCGCAGGCGGCGTAACTGTCACCCCGGGCCTTGCGAGCACGGTATGGGTAACGCAATTAGAGTACATAGCAGCAAGCAGTTGCAACATGCTGCGGATAAGGAAGGATAAGTAAAGTAGACTGAGCATGTATCAGACCCTTTCTGCTGTGGACCGGACGGACCCTGTTCGATCGGGGTGACCTTGCAACAAACGGTTGCTACATAATAAATCGCATCGCACCGCACGCTGCTACTGCAGCAGACGGCGGACGTAACAAGCTTAGCAAGACGAACCAAAATAACAGGTCCTACCTAAAGTACAGATCAGTAGTGTAGGCATCAGGCAGGGTTCCGGTAGGTGGGTAGGTAGGGAAATTCAGGCGAATAAATCGAATGATGACATGTACGTACCTACATGTCCATTCTAGGTAAATTAGAGTAAGTAGATGTGTGTGTACCTGCTCCAGAGTACGGTATGTGATCTCCAAGTAGAGTAGACACAGTCAGTACTCTACTCGTACTTTGCCAGTGCTCTGCCTACATCTCCTAGAGTAGTATGTACCGGTAGTTACAAAAGGCATGTACCTACCCCCCGACGATGGGGCACACCGCCAGTGCACAAACAAATCAAATCAACCAGGCCAGGTGAAAGAGGGTAAGTGTAGGTAATAGAGTAAGTGATCAGTGCCACAACTGCCTGCAGCTGGGACCATTCCAACTTCACGCTCCAGGTGGCGCACTCCGCGAGGGTAACCACCAAGCCCAGGGATGGTGCTAACTAAGATAAAACAATTTATTCATAGCCGCGTTAATTGGTTAGCCAGATGAGCAGGAGGTGAGCGAACGAACACAGGGAGAAACAAAAATTATCCGACGACGAAACCCACCATACCCCATGCTATGCAACAAAAAAAAAGTTGAGCGCCAGTTCGTTAATAGAACTTGCAAGCGAAGGGCCAATGGCCAACTCAACCTGAAGTTTTCCCGGATCCTTGCGCAAAACAAGGTTCAGGCGCTTGGGCATTGGGGAAAAACGTGCAGTGCAGATCGCAAGGGTCTTCTCTGGAATTGAAATCACAGATGGAGGTGAGGTGAGGTGGGAAGTGGATAAAAAAAAAGGGCACTTGTGAACTGAACCTGTCTCTGCTAACCCCTCTAAGCCATTATTGGCACTGCATATCTGACCTACATGCCGACCCAACCTCGAACGCCGATAGAGTAAAAAGTGGCTTCTCTCATCAAACGGTCGCTGATCAAATCTGTTTTTGTGTTCCGACCCAATCAACCAAACAATTTGCCATCGAGTGTCATGAAAGTGCATCACGATCAAGGAGCAGAAGCGCAGCATTGTGAAGATTACGCAAAAACAGTGACCACAAACCACCCTCCTACCCACCCAGTCCTACAGGCTTTGCTCAGATCAGGCAATCTACACAGGTTTCTGATATTTGTTTTGTTCATATCCGCAGTCAGCGGCGCGCGGCTGGTTACGTTTTGGCATACCGAATGGCCTACACCGGAATCTTCGGAAGAAGGCGTTTATATTTTTTTTCCTTTTCGGTTTGGCCCAACTCTAAGATTGCACTTTCTTCTTCCAACAAGTTCGTCCTGGTTGAAACATCTTTTGTGTTCCCTTTTTTCTTTTCTTTTTTTTCCATCATCAGAAGTTCGTTCCCATCCACGAGGAAAGTTCACGACCAACCGGTCGGGCGATCCATGTCTTTTTCTTTTCTTTTTCCCCATCATCTTTCTTCATCTTTTCTTTTTTCTTTACTACTTTTGCACCTAGCGGATCATGATTTAGCTTAGTTGGGTCCTAGTTCCCAGGGCCCTTGCTCGTTATGTAGGCTGGGTGGAGGACAACTTGGCTGCCGGCTCACCTCGCTCGGGGAGCAGGCTCGGAGACAGGCGATGACGTTTGATAAAACATGGCAAATTAGCGCCTCTGGGTCGAATCGGTTTTCTGGAAATTTTGCCGGCGACGGGGTCCAGAATTCCAGATCCCGAGTTGGGTATTTCCATCAGACTTCCTTCCTGTGGGGGCGAACCGAATGGGTTATCTAAGGAAACGATATCCTTGACCCTAGGCTACCCTGGTGGAGCATATAAATAAGCGAAACTTGCTTTCTTGGCCCTTGAACGAACACGGGCTGCAGATCTTGATGGACTAGACCTGGAGAGTGATACGGCAAGGGACCAGGGGCACTCATACACTGCCTACTAGAGGGAATTCTCCTCTTCGTGGTACGGCGGCGTAAGTGATCCTTAATAAGTGGATTAATATGCGTGCTCACTTACCGACAAGATCAACCAGGAATGAAGCGTTGATTGACACTGGCCGGTCAAAGTTGTAAGTGAACAGAGCCTGTGGGTGAATGAGTGATCAGTTAATGATAATTTAGTGAGAGACTGAGTCTACTAGGTAGCATGTACCACCTTAGCTGGGACGCCCGTCCCCAAACTCTACATATCATCCATCGCCTGTGTGATACTGTAAAGTGGCTCATGTATTTCGAATTCAGCCCCCTAGCATCCTTCAGCCGTCATCTTGCATTGATGCTGTTGTCTGCCCGGAATTGGGCGCGAGTTCGGAAGGTACACAAAGCTAAAAGGTGAGGATATTTGGATTATCCTTTTTGAGATCACACACAATTGACATAGAAACCCCATCCAACCCGTGGTGGATTAACGGTACAGTATGTAGCACAGAAATTAACTGCCTGTCTGGCTATATACATATCTGTGGCCCAGTCAGTCATCAATCCATACCCGGAGCAGGAGTAGCAGCACTGCAAAGGCTATACAGTATGTGGGGCAAGACTTATTACCGTATGTGAGATTTTGTCCCAGGCCTCGGCGCAACTTGTGAGCCTGAGAACACAGAGAGAGAAGGAGAGAGAGCAAGTTACACATCCTCCGATTCGTCCGCGATCGTTCTAGAGTTAGATCAGTGGTGTCACCTATGTACCAGCGATAGCCAAATATGCCTCTAACCACTTATTACATCGCCAACTAGCTCCCATCACGAGAGTTTTCTGACACTGTGCTGGTATCCAGTCACATACGGGTGTCTCCTCTATCCCCTGTCCTCTCTCTGGAAAATAAAAAGCAAAAAAAGAAATCATCCGCGTCATTCTGCTGCATCTTCTCCGCTTCAGACCATGTGTTGGCTGTTTTGGAAATATGGACAAAATCGACGGCCATTGGCAGAAAACTGAGGCTGTCCCGGCAATCTGGCTGGGCGTCAACCTTGACCCACAACTCGGCTTTCTGATCGTGCGTCCGTGCAGCATCACATCCTCGCGAGGTCGCGACTCACTTTCGTTGAACCGCATCGTAGTAGAAATAGAGGACCAACTTATTTTGGAGCAAGGCCTTGTCCGACCAACCAACCACAAATGAGGCTTGTGACAAAGGCAAGTTTGAGTGGTCTAGGTCTTTCTCTTTCTTTTTTTTTTTCCCTTCCTTGCTAACTAATGCTTTTTGATGGCTTGACGTCCGTTGTTTTTCTGGTTTTCACGATGTCTGATCATATGCATCAAGCCACCCGTGAACTATGTTTTTTGGTCTCCTCCCAGGCTCATAAACAGGACTTTGTTATTATTCTTATGATTGTCCCGAGTATTATTGTTATTGTTTTTTTTATCTTTTTGTTGTTATTATTATTGAGAAGCAGTGAGCGTATCATGCAGCCAGGCAAGAGGTGAGGGGAGGGCGAAGGAGAGATCCAATCTACCGTCATGCCCATAGCAAAGGCAAAAAACAACATCTCCGATCCATCGATTATATCGGCTTCAAGAGTAGGTACATACATGAAGTTAATTAAAGCAGAGGAGAGGAAGGGATCATCATCACCTCATCTTTTACCTAAAATGATTTATTTCCTTTTTGTTCCATCTTATTCCTTCGGATGTTCCGTTTCATATCAGGTATTTTAATATTATTTGTGGATAAGCGGAATATCGGACATGAGCACCATAGCGAAAAGAAGCAAGCGAGGGGATAAGGTGGATGGATGGATACGGATGGGGGTGGATGTATGGATAGATGGTGAGGGGAGAAGGAGGAGGCAAGCGGCGGTGAGGGGATGAAAAGGTAACCAAGGTGCATACATACGACGACTACGACTACGACGAAGGCGAGGTAGGACGGTATGTACCCTTTTTTCACTCTAGATACAACACGAGCTCGTGGGGTGCAAGAAAAAAAGAGTGTTCGGGAATATCCATGCTTCATCTGGATGCATGGCGTTTTTGAATGCTTGGACGACTTTCCTCTACCACCTCTACCACAAAAGTCTAAGGTAAGTTGTATGTCGATACATGTATGTAGGATGCTGCACGGTAAGTACCACAAGAGTAAATAAAGCACTGTCATCCGCTCGCCATGCAGTTGAACCAGCGATGGATGCTACCGTCTCGGTATTATTTGTAGGTGAAACCCAACGGGATTCTTTCTCCAAGCATCCCCCCCACCACCACCCACATACATACATACCCACACCCAACCCCTACCCCTACCCTACCTGATCATGTAGGCCTATCAAACTGATCTCTTCAACTGCACCCTTTAACATTGACCCCTGCACATCTCCACACAAGCCATGATCCCACAATCCACCCCAAATCTGGCCCCCTGCGCCCTGCGCCCGTTTGCTTCATGACGATTGGAGATGCATGCCCGGTAAGGTTCGGTGACGCTAGGACGCAGACAGCTTAACTACCCGCTGTTCCATCCACCGTTCCTACCTACCTTTATGTATGTGCAGCCCTCGCTAACTCGGATGATGGAATCTTGTCGGCGGTCGATGCGCCATCCATCATCCTGGCTCAGGAAGTTGGAGTCTACCAGGAAGGAGTTGGAGCCTCGTCCCTCCTCCTACAGTCCTACTCCTCTTGGTATGCCTGTCTCTCATGGTTTTGTGTCTCTGTGTCCCTTGAATTCATGTTGTGTCTCTGTTCTTGAGACTCAGTCCGAATGAATACCTAATTCACATACATCTCCTATCCATATCCACACTTACTCCATGATCAATGCCGGTTCACTCCCCCTCCCCTCATGATACTGGTGTATTCTACATACACTACGCCTACCTACATAGGCAGGTTGGACACAATTCATCCATCCATCCATAACACACCCCAAACTGAACTACACCATACCATACTATCATCGTACATTTCTGACTCCATGCCTGTTCTGTGTCTGTGTCTGGTCTGGTAGGGTATCTCCTTCTCCTCCTTCTTCCATGCCACATGTACGGCCTCAGTTCCCGCATATGTCGGGCTCCTCCCCCCCAATCAATTCCATCCCTTCCAACAGGAAGTATGAACTGCAAACCATCCATCTGTTTCAGCCGGCATTCTCTCCCTTATTTCCATCATATCGTCTCTGGCTACCATGGTGGGCTACCTACCTAACAGGAAGGCAATATCGAAATGTAGAGCAGTAGAACGGAGGATGAAGCAGAAGCAGCGCCAACTGCTTCTATCTCTCCTCTCTCTCTCTCTCTCTGCTGTTACATGATGCTGCTGATGCACCTTCCCACAGGCGAATGCGGTACGTACGTATCATAATTTTCCCATTCCAAGCCAACCAAAAATCATCTTACAAATTTACCACACGCCGTATATGTACGTAGGCCGGTAGGTAAAGTAAGGTAGGCAAGCAGATAGGCAGGCAGGCAAAGGCAGACGGATTGTGTGTTTTTAGCGTTTTTTTACAATATCCTTGCCATTGCATTTTTTCTTTTCTTTTCTTTTTTCCAAATTTTTATTCCCTTCCTCACCACCTTAGCCAGCCAACGCCATGTACGTTATTGAAATCCTGATACTTTACATGTCTCCGCGGGAAGCCGCCCATTGCACAGTACGCCATCAAAAATGTAGTCGAACTTCTCCATGCCTACTGAATCGAGATCTTTCAGCCGCGTGCATGATGGTCTTTCCCAAGCGTCCCACACTGACCCCCCCTCCCATCTATCCATCCATCCCTCCTCTATGGAACCCCAGTTCCCCGCCCCATGTCTTACTAGTCTAATAGCAACTACATATTCAAACTACTCATCGTCACTTAGACACCTCTTATTATAATGACCCGGCACCCCCTTTCAATTTCCGTTCCGCCTCCCCCTCCTTTGGGTTCTTCCGTGCCCCCAACCCCAGCAGAGTGTTTCTCTGGTCAGCCGCTCCACCGTGCACACATGTGGCTTGGGAACTGAAGCTACATATACTACTTATCAGTCCTCTTCCTCCTCCCTCCATCACTATCGTATCTCCACCCACCCACCCCACAATTCACATCTACGTCTACCAAGAATATCATCACATCATCATCATCATCACCACTACTCACTCACAATACTTCATTGAATTGTAAGTTCTTTTGCGTACTTATATATATACATATATATAACGACCACATACTGTAAAAGATCATCTTTTAACATTGCTTCAGTAACGCCCCAACCAAAAACCAAATACTCATAATGTCTTCATACACCACAATGGATGAGTCTTTCACAAACGAGAACGAGATCTACTACGCAAACTCAAATTTCTCAAATTACCCAATGTTCACAGAACAGGAGCTGTATTGCTTCTTGCCTGCCGAGCAGAACATATATCAGAATACGGATGGAGCAGTGTACCCCCAGTTTGCGACGGGATATTACGACAATGGGATTGTCCCAATGCAGGATTGTTATTCAATGGGGATTCAGGATGGATATATGAGTGCGGAGGAGGATGCATTTAGTTGCCAGCCCAGCCCGTTTCTCGAGCAGCAGTACCCCAGATCTTCGTTCATGGACAACAATGGGTCTCCAATCACTCCGTCAGGATCGCCTCTTGCATCGGAGATTGAATATTATCACAACTCAGTACCCTCGTATATGCTTGTTCCCGGACATCAAAATGACCAGGTTCAAGAGTACAACAGCTACGATGTCCCTGCAGCCTTCAATTCGTCTTCTGTCCCCTCGTTGGCCAGCAGCATTAGCTCCCAGGATACCGTCTTGGATTCACCCTGCATGTCTTCCCCAGCATTGGGCAGCCCTGGATCCGATGACGACGAAGATGAGGAGGAATATGAGAATGATTTGTCTCTCCTACCAAACCAGGGCAACAAGGAGCTCAGGGGAATGGGCCTTTACGACTCGCCTCCAGATCTTTTTTACACCAACTGTTCCACACCTACAGGGTGCTCGCCTGTCTCGCCTCACGCCACTTTGGGAAAGGGATTGGTCTTGGAGAGGAGCTTTGGGTTGCCGGATGAGATGATGATCAAGGATGAGTCATCGGGGAAGATTATCAAGGGGAAGCTTGAAGCGGAGGAGGATGATGAGGAGCCAATGATGTACGATGAGGAGGAGTGTGGAGAATGGGATGGCACTTACCAAAACACCTTCCAGCCACAGTACGATATTTCTTTTTATTCTTCTCAGACTAATAGAGGGTGGTAAATATTTCTTGCTCTACTTTTCTTTTACTGTCTATATTATACTGGGTTTGGTGGTTTTGGCTTTTTTGCTTCGGTGTTCTGTTTTATACATTTTTGCGATACACTGTCTGATATGGGTTTGGTTTGACTTTTTTTTTTTTGTTTGCTCATAGGGGGTTTATTTGATTTTTTGCGAAGAGGTCAAGTTCGAGTTGTCTTTTTTTCTTTTTTCTTTTTACATACTGAGCTACAGGGCCTGTATCATTATCATGACTTTTCTTTGTCCACTCATTCAGCGTTTGGTGTTATAGCGGCATTTTTGGGGATTACTACTATTTTTCTTACTGGGCGGGTTTTAACCTTTTTGCGTTTTATCAAAAATTCATCATGGTACTGGGGTGTCTTAGCGGGGAAAAGCATTATTTTCTTTTCTTACTTTTTTTGCATTAGTTTGGTTTTTACAAAAACCAATTGTATCAATATTATATTACACCACATACGTATGTGGTGGTTTCAGAGCATAGCACGAGAACGGGTGTTTTTTTGGGGGTTCATAGAGAATCTTTTTTACATCCATGATATAATTACAGTATTATCCTTCTATCATTTCCCTTTGCCGTACGTACTTCGTGCAGTGTGCAGTGTGCAGTGCAGTTCAAGTGCATTTTTTGGTTTTTTTTAGTTTTTAGTTTTTTTTCTCGGTTTTTTCCTCGGTTTTTTTCTTTTTTTCTTTTGCTTTTCGGAAGGAGGAGGGATTGGTATGGTATGGCGGTTTAGAAGTACAGCTCAGATCTCGAGCCTAACTACTATCTACTACGTCTGTATAAGTTAGTAGCTCTCATTGTCGTGGTCGTTCGTCGGCAATTTTGCTGCATGTGATTATTAAAGATTTCATAGGGTGTACGGTATCAGGTTAGCCGGGGTTTCATTTTCCGATTTTTCGCACTTTTAGATAGATGGACGCTGAACAGGACGCATGGATTTGGAAACGTTACATTACGTTACGAGGAGGTGTGTGTATACGTGGGTTACATGCATCATCATCAGTAGTATATAATACGAGTATTTTAGTTTTAGTTTACAAGTAATTACTTGGTTTGACTCTAGCTCTTTGCTCTGATGATCAGATCAGCTAGATATAGATATAGATCACAGTCTTACTATTTCCTCTGCATCGATGTCCATCTACCATGAGCGACGCAATATGGGGAAGTCGGGCGGCGCGGCGGACGGACGCTCAAGGAAGAAATGGCCATGGAACATGCTGGTTAGACAGGAAGGAGAGATGTTACTTAGGGGAATAAGAATACAAGAGCCGGTTTCTACAATGAAAACGTGCTCTTATACAATAATTACTATGTAGTTACATATGTAATGATCCTCTCTCCCCCGGCCGGCGCGGCGGTGACATGCACCGGCCCCTTGATCATTACCTCTTACTATCATGATCGTATCCGGCCATCCCACATTCCACCCTGCTCTATTATTATCATTATTACCCTACTATTACTGCCTATAGTAGAACACTACCTGTCTCACCCTGTTCTACTCTGTCTTTTCTTGTCTTGGGCTGGCTGGCTGGCTGGGGGTGTTTTGTTTGTCTCGTCTAGCTCCCATCGGCTGCGTAACCTGTTGGATCGATCACTGTCCCTCCCTCTCTTGCAATATATTAGTCACCAACCACCGGGAAGTTTCCCGCGCTTTATCGAACCAGGACGGTCTCATACTTCACACACCTTCACCGCATCATGTGCGAAGAGGAGTGAGAGAGAAAGAAAAAAAGGTTAGTTTATGTGTAACACTTTTTTTTCTTATTTTTTCGAACCCCCCCTTCGATCCCATCCCATCCCGGCCTTTTCGAAGGTTCTTTTGGTTCTCTCCCCATATCCCGGCTGCAGCAGCGCATCATCCCTGCTTCAGGTATGTATGTATGTGGGTAGGTTATAGGGTAGGGTGGTGATTAAGGCTTATCGACCGCGCGAGACAATCGGGGGTTAGGTTATAATATGTCTAGAGTAGCTAAGGGGGGGGGGTTGTATGTGGGGGGGAGCTGACTGAGTGCACACTCTAGGTCTAGGTAATTGATTTGCCGAGCCTTAGATGGATATCCCTACCTTTGCAACATGCTCTAGAAAGCTGCATTAATCAACGGCCGTCCGTCGTCGGTGAAGATGGGGGCATGCATCCGCCGTTGTTGTCGCCGTTTCTACTATGAGTAGAAGGAGCATTTCGACGTGGACTGGCTGGCTGGACGTTGCAATGGCTTGCACAGAGTACTCTACTTTGCTGGCTAGAGTGCATATTTTAGACTGACTACTCTACATGTAGCTCTAGCCAGCTAGGCAGGTAGAGTACTCTAGAGAGTAAGTAGGCGAGGGAGTATTTTCTAGAGACCTTCTACATACTCTAATCCTCCGTCTAGGTACTCCAGGGTACAATACCGTGCATTACAAAAGTAGCAGCCTAACGACGACGGACCCCATGTACGAACTGTAGGTCGATGGCACATCGAACAATGATCCCACCCCATGGCCCATCTGAACCACGCACGCAAATCGGACATCGGGAGTTAATTATGAAAAGGAAAAACACCACGATTCGGGGTGCCCGGGGGGTGGTTTATCACTCTCTCACCTAGAGTAGAGTACCTACATACCTAGGTAGGGTTTGTAATACTCCTGCCTGCTGTTGTTTATAGCGATTTAAGCGAAGCCGCAGAGCGAGAAAAAAAAAAACATTATCCACAAGTAATATTACAATACCATGTCACCCATGGCCCATCCCCCCCACACACAGACACAGACACATACATATAGCTACAACCCCCGCGCGCGTCCTGATCCACTCCGGGCTCCCCACCCCGTGTTTCAACTGTTTTCAATTCTGGAACCGACCCGAGGTTGGACGTCCCTGCCTGCCTAGCTAGGTACATATGGTATGTAGGCAGGAAGGCAGTTAAGGCGCGTGCGGGCTAGGCTGGGCAACAAACATATCATCCAGCAACTGCAGGGTAGGGCTGGCTGCCAGCCATGGGGCTTGATGAGCTGAACTTCTACCTATCTCTCTCTCGATTCATCATACCGCTGCTGTTGCTGCTGCTGCTGCTGCTGCACAGAGAGAGCGGCAGAGAGAATATATTGTGTGCTTTTCCCAGCTAGAGGATGAGAAAGAAAAAATATATACGCCGGCGTCGGCGCGGGCCCCCTGGAATTCCGTTTCGATTCTCCCTTCCTGGTGGGGTTCTCGTATACGTTACGTTACGGTACGGTACGAGGAATTGGAAAAAGTATGGAACACATATGTCGGACGTCTATTTAGGGGGGACGTTGCTCATGTATGTAGGTACGATGTACCTATCACATACATTATCTACATTACATGTAGGGTAGAGTTACATGTACCACCGGTGCTGCTGCTGCTGCTGCTGCTGCTGCTGCTGCTGCTAATTACTCACATCCCAAGTTATAATATATGCTCACATGGTGAGATTGATTTGAATATATATTCCGCGCGCGCGCGCTCAGGACGGAGCGGAGCTAGTGGAGGACGCCGTCAGCAGGCAAAGTGGAAACGAAATATAATACCGGGGGATTGGAAACTTTTGGGGGGCCTGGACGGATGGCTGAGTGAGCGTTTAGTTTAGGCATTTCGAGAAAGAGGAGAGTATCATATCAATTTTTGTGTGAGCTCATGACGAGGGCCCGAGACTATTTTAAGATTGGCCAGGTACGAGAAGTGGTATGTAGGTACATGTATGAGTAGAGAATATACGGTAGGTATGTGCAATATGGTACATTCATGTTGTACCTACTCTACACTCCGAATGTTCCATGTACCGACGGTATTTACCTTAGTTACATGTACTTGCTGCTCTTCTCTCTAACACCGTTCCGTTTAAATGTGGTATGTAACTAGATGGAAAGGGTTCACATTACAATATCGGAATTCGCCTTTATGTACTCCGTCTTCTTCTCCCTCGTCCTCTTCCCTGAGTTTTCTCTCCCGCGCGTGGAGGCAGCTCTAAGGGGCACGCAAACTAACTTACGTTCTCACTTTATGTACAACATTCATTCATTACAGGCTCTTTCTTACCTCCTCTGCTCTCCATCGGTTGGGGTTTGAGATCGCTTGCGCTTGGGTAACCGTGCACTGCTTGCTTGAATTCACTTCCTACGTGGCGGTAGGGTTGGGTGTGATAATATAGACAAGGTACATATAAATTTTATACATAACCTAACATTCACAATATCTGGCTCTGCCCTGAGATTAGTTTTTCGCATCTGTACTATTTCCCTCTTGTGTAGATTTGGTTTCGAAAGGGTCCACAATCCAAGGGACGTATTTACCCAAGCTATTTAACCCGATATACCCTGTACGCTGTCTGGTGGTTGTGGTTGTGGTACCTGGGCGTGGGTTTTAGTTTCGTGATTGGGGGGAGGGAGGGTGTTTAAAGTTGCATGATCATTCCAAATCTCCACCTTCATTTTCGAGAAGCCGGTTATCCACCCGAGAGAGCTCGAGCGAGCGAGTGCAAGGCTGTGATCACAGAAGGGATGGAGGGGGTTGAGGGGGTTGAGGTGATATGTTCGAGTGACTAAGCGGGAAATAAGCCCGGAATCTTATCTGCGGTGGTGCGTGCGTGAAGTGAGTGACCGGAGTGAGTGAGTGCCTAGCCACAGGTTTAGGTCTGAGTGAGGAATGAATTCAAGGGAGGCGTGATAGAGAATATTGATCTGTGTTGCAAACCCGGCCTGCAATGTATTGTATGCAGTGCTGCCTAGACATTTCAGTGCAAGTTGATCAATCATCATCATGACCACTGTCGACACCCTTTTGACTTCCTGTGGCACCCGTACTGGTACTCTAAAAGGGATGGTAAGTCTGACTTACTCACCAGGAAATGTCTGATTACCGTCACCGATTACCGCGAGAGTCGCTAGAGGACTCACACTTGCATCCAAACACACAAACACACACTCACACCACCCACACACAGAAAGAGAAAGAGAGCGAGTTAGCAGACTTTCGAGACGGTCCTTGGCGCCCAGCAAGACAAAAGCTTATTTCCGAAAGGACTCGAATCACGAATATTGTGTATGTGCGGTGCTGTACCCTATGTGTGGGTACATGTATGTATGGGTACATCCGCAGCCTCGGCCTCGGTTTTGGATTGGATGCTACGCTGGATGGATTTAAGATCACCAGTACTACCACCTCTACGGTCATTCATGGTAGATCACTCGGAGGGTCCCCTCCCCCCGGCCTACTCCCAACGACAATGGCGGCTATGTAACATGCAACGGACCACGCGAAACACCAGGCAAAGGATTTACGAAAAACCTAATCTAATCTTACCTACCGTACTGCTTATAGAAACGTCCCACGATGGGATCGACATTACGAAGATTTGATTGTGATGTGATGGGTGTTCCGAAACACTCTCCTGGTTGGTTGGTGGGTTAGCTTTAGCTACTAGCTAAATATGTAGGTAGCTTACCTAGTAGCTGTTCAGAAACATCACATCCACCGAACTTGACTTGACTGACTGAAATTCTGGTTAGACGACCGGGTGGGTGATCGCGAGAAATCACCAGAACAAGAACAAGCAGACGAAGACGAGCATTTCGTGTCAGGTAAGCGCATACTCACACCGCACACCATACACGACGATATGTAGTTGGACATAGGGCGCACAACACAGATCCGATATGCCATGTTGCCTATTTGCACAGCTGCATGTCTCCCAATCTTCAGTCAAGTCAGTGGCGGTGTTTGCTCCCCTATTGAGACCCCACTCTCCCATCAAGCTTGTTGGCATCATCTAAAACCTGGAACACCCACACCAGCACCGGCGACACACTTACCCGCTTTTGTTAGTTATATCGGGGTCACGCCACTAGGGAACCACTTGGGAAAGGAAGGGGTCGGTATATCTTCTTTTCCGCGTGCGTGGGACTTGTCCCGTGGGCCTGGGAGCACCAGCAGTACCTAGACAAGTAAGCAGACATCAGAGAAGAGGTCTAAGCTTTTTGTTTTTTTCATTTTTTTTGCGAGGAGGGGATCCGGGTTTGGACTCGGATCACGTGCACGGACGTGACGGTCTTTCCTTACATTCGTTATTTGTCTCAGTCCGGAGGGCGGCGGTGGTCGGTGGAGGTGAGTGAGGTGAGTGACAGCACGTACATACATACATTGTACTTTATGTGGACTTCCGAGGGGACCTGTGTGTTTCATATCTTTTTTGGCCTGCGGATCACAATTACCTAGAAAATTTGTCGGGAAAACCGGCCGGCAGGTCAAAGATTTTTTGGTTTTATTTGTTTTTTCTTCGATGCCAGCAGACCAGGACCATGATTTCGGGGAGTTTGCGGAGGGAAGGAAAGGGAAGGGAGAAATGAATTACTAAATGTGAGGAATGTCCCCCCTCGATAACTGAAGGTCGATAAGTTAGATAAGTTATGGACTCGGCATGGAGGGCATGTACGTACCTACATAAATGCTCTAGATACGCGCGGTCACATCATTTTCCTTTACCTGGTTATGGACAGACATAACTGACAAATAGGAGATCCTCCTCACACACCAATATCTCGGACACAGAAGGCGGGGGAGGTGAGCTAGTCTAGTCTGTTAGCTGTTGTCGTCGTCATCAAATCTCCAGTCGCTTGAAACAATGTCTTCTTCGCCAGTGCTTAAAAGCGCTTTTCAAATCATTAACTGGATCATATCCGTAAATACAGACATACAGTCAGGTCTGATCAACCACGAGATATAAGGCCTTTTTTTTTGGCCCTTCGGGGAACACAGTTTGAGATGGAGTCTAGAACAGCCAATTGCAAATATCTGTGATACGTATATACGTATATCATGGCGGGTACGCATTGTTACAGTGCGACGCCGCCTAACTACCTGCCTGCACCATGATCATTTCTTTACTCCAGTCAACAGGATTTTTGGATCTGTTTTTGGGTTTTTTTGTAGGTACGTGCTCATGTATCGAGTAGTGTGCGTATGTACCTACACATCTTAGCCATCAAATTGTGTTTCAACTGGAGAGGAATTAGATAAAGGAATGAACGCCCGATCATGCCCAAGCTTGCAATTCTCGCACTTCCCGCAAGACCCTATTCAACAGTATTGTACAGCATGTACTGAGTGCATGACCTATCTATGCAGGGGTGTCTCGCGGATAGGTGATCGACCTGTCGGACCCTTGGACCCGAAGTGGTAAGCAGATCAATCATCTAAGCAGGTTAGCTAGCAGGTTAGCTAGAACTTGGGACGAAAAAAAAGACATAGTTACCCACCAGCTAAGGTTTTGTCTTGGGTCGGACGCTGGATCTATATCTGGATGAACAGCATTATCTATGATGATATATTTGGGGGTGATTTAGCTATAGGCGTTAGTGTGCTTGCAATTGGCCGTGATGACACATTGTTGGGGTTGACGAGTGATTTTCAATGACTCCAATTGGGTACTCAGGTACCGATAGCCTGCCTGGTCCTCGTATTGCGGGTACTGATAGAAGTAGGGGAATCCCAAGAAGAAAAGAAGAAGCGGATGGATCTGATGATGATGAAAAAAGGCTCTTTGATATTGTCTCATGATCTGGTTCTACGTTGTCTTTTGATCTGTCCTCTGTCTTTGAGTCGTTGTATTATGATTAAGACAACCCTAACCCAAATTTTAACTACATTCTAGATCCGCCTCCCCGCTTTTCTCTCTGCAACCCAGTGTCGATAGATTTGAAAGAGCACCTACTCATCGTATGGCTAGCCGACCCAGCCAATAATCTCAGGTTTACAAATCAACTTTTGTCTAGTACCCCGAGTGAGTTCTGATTATCTCCTGCGTTCAGACCCGCACTTGCAGCACGAACTAATGAACCCCATAATTCTAAACGTCTCTAGAAAGTCTTACCACATCATTGTCTAGAACCATAAGTGACGCCGGTAAAATAGAAAATGGTTCGCCTGGTAGTGGGGCCGCCGGCAAGCTTAGACAATCGAGGAGGAAAGGATCGACTAAAACCCTCATTCTAATCAAACCGGGGCGATTGTGGAACATGGAATGAGATTATAATGTCTGAATACGTTGGTAATCGTCTTTTATCAAGGTATTCTCGGCTATCATCAAAATTATGCAGAAATACATGTGCTGGTCACGATCTATGAATATCACAAGCAGTAACACCCATAAAGTCTCCTCAGACATTCGCTATTATATCAAACAAAGCATTTAAAACGCAAGGGTGTATATTATGGCTACGGTCATCAAAGATTCGCTGGATATGCGTTATGGATTCCCTTTCACTCGCTACCATCAGTTCTTTTAATTAACTGAGGTTATTAACAAATAACAAATAAAGTGGGACCGAGAACGATGCAGGAAGCTCCTTGTCCATAAGAATTTAAGATGCTTGATCTTATACTTGGCAGTTCGGCAATATTGCCGGCCATATATTGTGAGTTGCTTTTCATAAAACATAACCGTACGTACCCATACAGGCATCCAAAAGATATCAAACTACCGCCAAATTCCGTTGGAGGAGGCCGGTCTCTTCTGGCGGGTTTACGGCGAAAGCCACACTTGTTTTGGCCTCATCACTGTGGCTTACGCCGTGAAGCGGTCTGCAATCACCAGAAAAGCCCGGTCTCTTCCAACGGAATTTGGCGGCGCCTACTATCCCACAATTTTTTCTACTCGAGAGTGCTAATACAATCCCGTGGAAAATTAGAAATATTACATACTGACCGGACGAGACGAACCGGAAAGCATATACTTCTTTATTAGAACCCTTGCAACTATTTATTGAAACCAAGGGCTAGGTGTTAGTACGCCGCTGAGGTTAAATATCACTTCCCACGCAACATCAACAAGGGCGAGCGGTCTAACGGTTTAGACCCCGGCGTCGGGTGAGACACTGTGTGTTTGCTCAGGACCGCGAGGTCCTGGGTTCGAACCTTCAAGGAGTGGGGGTAGTAACGGGCCGCCGTTGCAGTACCTTTTGTTCTTTTTTGTGTAAACTCAGAGAGAAGTAATACCGGACGCTATTTTGATTTTTATTCCCAAGAGGGCCTCCTTTCCCTTCTTCCCCCCCCCCCCCCCCCCCCCCGGGGGTTAGAGGTGTGTCATGGATTATCACTCGAGGTGTTTAAGACTGCTTGATTGATTGACTACTTCATTTAATGAGTGTGCAGGGAACTCAATGCCCGAGAAAAGCAGCCCGCCCTAGCTGTTGTGATGTTTTTATAAGATATATCTGTAGCTGTCTGGACGAGGTATATATGGAAAGGTTTGAGGAGCGGTGGCGGGGCCTTCCGGGCCGTTGCGGCGGAGTCGTCGACGAAGTTTGCTGCGAGGAGTCCGTCGGTGCGGGCGCGCTCGACGGCGGCGATGGGTCCTGTGCCGGCGGATTTTTTTTAAGGCCATTGAGGGTGAGGGGGCGCGGGGGAACGGTGGCTTGATTCCGTCTTACACTTTTGTACTACACACTTCAATATATATTCTGATGACCAGGTTGGCCGTTTGTTCTATTTTGGCCGTGAACTTAATGGTATTTAATTACATGTAGTATACATGATTTAAGACCTAGAGTACTAGGGCATTCCATATTTGAGGTATATAACAGTCCTTTATGTTGAACGTTGGCTGCTCATGGGCGGGTTGGCCTATAAAGGGTTCGTGGTCGATCCTGTCTTGCTGTCTTGCTGTCCTTTGTCTCGTTGTCCTGTTTCTTAGTTAGATTGGCTACGGCCTATTCTCTTTCTCTCTCGGACTTACTCGTAATACACCGAATATCATTCTCATTCATCACGATCCGATAACACTTTAGTCTTCATAATGTGAGCTTGAAGTATATGTGGGTTAGGGTTAATATAATTGACAGATCACATTGGGCTTAAACTCGAAAACGACGAAAGTTAAAACCCAATTCTTTTAAGGGGGCTTAGTTTGGTGCACCATAGTTTTGGGTCTGGATTCGGCCTTTAAACACGTTATATAACTATATAATCGCGATATATTATCGATACGGGGCATCGTCTCCTCAATCATGAACATTGAAGGATTACGGGTCGACTGAAATTGGCGGTATTTTACTAGAAATCAGTGGGTGTTCTTAATTGAGCAAGGCCTTTTATATCGGCCAGAGAGTTCGAGTCTCAAATATTGTGGGAAAACGAAATAAATAAAGCACAGCACTCTGTTACCATCTTTTTTATCAGATATATATGGGTGTCAAATTCTACCTAAGTATATACTCCAAGTACAAGCCAGCCTGCACGAATAAAAAAATAACCAAGAATAGTTAAATCATACCGAGATCGAGAACATATTATCCTAACTCTAAGTTCTACCTCCTCGGAGCGAAATTGTACAGCGGTAATAAATAAGCCACCCTGATGTACACACACCTAGCTCCATGGATCTAGGTATTGCTCTTATAAGAAGCTACAATATATGATAAGGCTAGCTATAGATGGTGACCTTAACACGAAAACAAGGCTCTAAGGATAAAGATTGCACTCCGGCCCCCCACTTACAGTTTCTTTATAGTCATTCAAACAAATTTTAAACCGCCGCGTTGCATGAGTCGGATCAGGTCTAGTTAGAGACGATTGTTTGGGGATAGTATATATTACGCCGACATATGCACAATAATGTACAATTTCCCTACCTAGAGCACTATTTATACTTATGAATAAGACAGCATTATATCCACAATATTAATACCAACCATGAGTAAAGACTTCTAAGGAGGCGAGCATGCGCGTATCGAGAGTCCTAGCTCCTCAAATAGTCACCGGTATTCACCGCTAAGTCACAATGCCCGAGGGTATCAAGTTACTGCTAGTGGTATGTTGCCCCATTAGTTGGTACAGGTGATCTAAACCACGACCGGCACCTATTGTGGAATTGTGGCTGAAAAATCACTGACACCAGTGCATATGATATCCCCTGTACTCGAATGAAACAAGGCGCACCTCCACATTACTTTTGTAATCAGCTTTTAGCTCATATTTATTAGTATAAGAGCGGGTTCTATAACAACCTTGTGCGCAAGCGGGTTCGCCTAGCTAGATATCAAGGCTGGATCCGACATATTCTGGTAATACAAACATTATTTTATTGGCCGATATTATATATAGTTCGGATGAAATGTCCGATCATCACAAAACTGGCTTTATATGAGTTTTCTCTCAGATCGGGGAGCAAGAACTCGTGTGTTTCTAGATGACACCACCGGCTGGCGATGGGATGAGAAACGCCGGCGGGACCAGCTACGGTTTTATTGATTTGGAATCCGGAAGGGTCTGATGATGTTGTTTTGGGTGCTTTATGGTCATTCGTATGCATATAAACGCAGGCTCGGGTGCTCACGCACGAGTATCGCCGTTTGTGCGAATCACTCATTTATGATCATTGACCCACCGGCATGGAATAAGAGGATATCTAAAACCTAATATAGGATTACAACCGTCTCAGATTTACATTTGCTATAGCTATGTCATTGGTGCTGGATGACGATTTGTCGATACCAAACTCGTCGAAAAAAATCTGCGACTAACTATATACTGGTTAGGAGAAAGCTTTTCCAGTGCTCGTGCGCTTTATAATGCATACATGTATGCCTATGCATTGTGCCCAAGATGGGGGTTCTAGTGGTACCCGCTACTATACGGCATGCATACAAAAAAGTGCTTTTCAAGCAACTCTTTGGTGGAATGAGAGAATTGGTAATCGTGAAACTTATAAAATAGAAATCATACTCGCCATGGTTCTCCGGCACAGAGGTTTTATTCCTCCAGATGATACATGTCCCCTTGAGTTAAATTGATGAGGCTATCTTGAAAATAGGTTAACGGAATACTAAAAATTCATTTCTATACTGATCATAGTATATATGTGGTGATTATGAAGGAAAGGTGGCGGTCATAAAAAGAGTCTGTTAAAGATCCTATATTGGGAGAGCTTACTGGCTACTCTATATCTCGTAATAACCAAGGACCCAATTGAAGCTAACTGGATCTACTATTACTGTAAGTCTAGATCCTGCATAAGCACCAGATTCTGAGCACGGTTTTAAAGACACAGACAGGTACATACACATATATCAGGTCTATTATGGACAAGGACTGGCGACGTTGAGAATGTGGAATGAGATACCCTGTATCCATCTATGACCACTCTAACATTGGACGCATAAAATGAGCGCGCTGATCATGGTTTCGTACTCGGTCTACGTCCACCACGATACTGACATTTCCAACTCAAGTGTATACTATGCACCCATAACGTTATAACGGTCAGCAGCAATTGGATCATCTTTTCATGCACTACAGAAATAGATAAAAGAAAAAACCACAAAGAATAAAGTGTGTACTATATCCCCTTGACCCCCAAACCCCTGGCTCTATCTCTGCATGTGTGCGCACATATGCAAAAAAAAAGACGGACCTGGGATTAACGTACTATACGGATGGACTGCATCCCTGAATGCAAACTCCAAATACGACTACTCTGACAAGTTATACCCTACGAACTATTATATCCGAAACGTCGCTTATATCTAATTAGTACCCCACAATATCACTGGCCAGGCCTGCATCATGTCATTTCCCCCATCTCATACCGTCGAGTGCGAAGTGCGAAGCGCAAAGTGCGAGTGATCGCACATGCATATAATAACTAAGTATCACTACTAAACTAAACGCACCCACCCGCACTCGTACCCCGGCTATCCGTAGGTTCAGATGCATACATATGCACCCCCCCGGGTCTCTCACTCCCATCATCTCCCTCATTATCTTCAGTTAGAGTATTTCACTTCTACCTCCACTTCTACTTCTGCTATGGCCTCGGGAGAGTATAACATAACTCCCCTGCATACCGTACGTGTCTCCACAGACCTCGAAGTATCCCCCACTTTGGCCGGAGGAAGGCTTTTGAGGATCCATATCGTCGATAGCCTGTTGCATTGTAACCAGCTAGGCAAGGTTTATAGCGTGTATAATAATATTAGTATTTATTTAAGAATTTCTACGCAGACCGATTTGCTGTCTTTACAGCGTCCAGCACTAACCAGCCAGCCAGCGGAGGAGCAGAATATAATTGATATCACAGAGCTGCGCTGCCAGACCAGAGCTAGAGAGGGGGTCCGGGTCCGGGCAATTAAAGACTACACCGGTACGGTCTGTAAGGCCGACGACGATCTACGTAGTACGCACGTATGTACGGCCGACGAATATGCAATGCACGTATAAGTAATATAAATGCTTGTTCGATATTCCCATCGGCTATTAAAGTATTGCAATGTAACCAATGAACATGAGTTTTTTTTCTTTCTTCTTTCTCCTGCACTTCAATGCTTAAAAGTATTTTTTTTCCCATCGGCTGTTGGAACGAACCTTACCCCATACCGTATCCACATCCGGGAGGAGCAGGAGGAGGAGGGAGAGGGAGGCCATTACCATTCAAACTCACTTTTTTTCTAGATCTCCCCACTTCCAAAGCAACATGCAGCACCCCGTGTTATTGAGGGGTTGCCTGGGGGACTGGTCGCGGGGTTATTATGTACTGTATGTAGAGTAAGTACATGTAGCTGTAGCTAAGTCGGTTTGTTATCGTTGACATTGCAACATGTGCGCCGATAACGAGATGCCCGAGTAAGTCTTCTACATCAACATTACATGGCGCACGTGTCGTGTACGGGGTAGCCTGTCTGTTAGAAGTATCATGTACCTACCTTTGAGCGCTCGCGCGCGCTCCAAAAAAAATTTCATCAGTGGAAGGATTGCACCATCGGAAAGATTTTTTTTTCTCTCTCTAGCTAGTAGCTCTAGCTCTGGTTCAATTGAAGTTCCCACCTCCACAGAGTTACTCCCCCACTAGTTGCCTACTCCTGCAGGTAGATCAAAAGAGAAACAAGGTCGTGACTTTAGCCTCGACCATTGGGCGTCCGCCGTAGACTCGACTCTAAAGTAACCCACCGCCGATTCCCAATCGAACGGGAAGAATGAATGAGAGGAACGAACTTTTTTTTGCTTGATCCCGTTACAGAAGGTCATGACCTCCCCTCAACATCACCACCACCGACCAACCGGCCCTGTTCTGCTCAATGACGGACGGATGCGCCTGCGGTCTTGTTGTAAACGTGTCTGAGTCCATCAGTGGAGTGGGTGGTCGATCTCAGGAACAATGTGCCGGCAGATCATGCTACTACAATAAGGCTAGAAGTAAGACTATTTCGGATAAGTGATCTGTGGGGGATAACTAGAAGTTAGGTATAATAATCCAGAATACTTACCCAGGTACTCTAGATCACCTCGCGACTCGCGCCGGTAGAGCCAGTCGATACGAGGCTGCCTATGCTCGGTGTAGTTGTTGGTCGTGTGAGCGCAGCAGCAGCAGCTACAGCTAGAGTACTCTATTTACTCTATTTTAGCTAGATTTAGTAGAGTACAGTACGTACTACATACTCTACTCCAGCTATGTGGTGGCTGATTCGCGATAGGGGTGCATATCTACGACGAGAGTATCATATCCCAGATAGGTACTCTTGTGTCTCAGCTGGATCTTCTTCTCCTCCACCTGTTCTATGCAAGCCACCAAGGCAATTAAAGCAGAGTCGCCCTAGGTAGGTGGTTACGCCTTCAAAGCATGCAATTGCATGCTTACATATCCACAGTTAGATATTTATTTACCACCGCACCAGTCAGCCAGCTCCTTACTCACCCCCGGCGCGCGCGTTCAGTAGAGAATCATGACTCTTAATTAACTCTTCACTATAGCTAAGCAAGGGGGGAAAAAAAACGGGCCGGAGTGAATATCTATATGGAGCAATTTCGTAAGCACTCTTAGCAACAGTCGTATATGCGTAGTCATGCTCTAATTGCAGTTTTTAGCTACAGTTGCAGCATGATTTGATTGAAATCGCGATCAGAAAATACATACCCAAAAATATATATCAGCGGCTGTCGGATGTGGTTTAGCGGCTACGATAACAAATTGTTGTTCCTACATCACTAGTGCATGGAGAGAGGTTCGAGCCGGCTGACGCGATTGAATTGCGAAAGTAACTGAGGCGTACTGAGCTAGAGCAGAGTACAGCATCAGTTGATCCCTCGACTCCTTCTTGTGCTTCTTCATTTTTTTTCTCTCTCCTATTAATTCTGTACCTATGGTAGTACCTTGTCAATTCTGATGAGTACTTCCACATCAAACTTCAAAAGAATTAATCGTTTTTCTTTGCTGTTGAGCTTTAGACCAACTACTAGGGGTTTTCGGGCCAGCCTAGGAGCCAGTCAGCCTTTATTTTTCTTTCCTTCAACATGCAAATGTAAAAAACAATTCTTCTCCGATCGATCCTAATTTTGCTTTTAATCATAGGGGATCACTCGACATTTTGCTCCAACGCCTGCACGTGACCCCCACCTTTAGTAAGGTGTTCGAGTAGGAGGTAGGGCGGGCGGGCGAGCGCAAAATGTCAAAAAAAAAACCACGACCCAAAGTAAGCATTCCCATCTCAACCCCACCAATCTCCACGCCTTCCCCGCAAACAAGACTGAATCAGATTTTTTCCCTTCTTTCTGCGCGAGGGGGTGGAGGGGGGCCAGCTCAGCAATTAATTGTGGTGGTGGGTTGAAAACCAGGCTTTGCACCGGTTCAATTCACAACTGCACCAGAGCTGTACCAGGCACAATCTGACCGAAAGCCACCACCATCATCGGTCACTGAAGCAAAGGGGACAAGGTTCCCCTGACGGGGCGGGCTAACTATTACTCTAACTCGAGAGCTAGCTAACTAGATAGATTAGATAGCTGATAGCTGTAGTGATGAGCTGGTGTAACCGACCGACCGACCGCGCAGAGAAGACATGTACGTTGATGAGGTGAGATCTTGGACGTCGTACGGCGCGCAGCGGCGGCGGTTGTTGGGGGAACGGTGGTCCGGACTGGCCGGCCGGTGAGGTGTAAAAAAGTCCACTCTGACTTTCCTACTTCTTTTTAACCTATCTGGCAGGATTCCTATTCGCGGACACTATGCGCAAGTCTTTTTTTTGTTGTTATATAGCATGTATGTAGTTGTGAGTAGGAATATATTTATAGTCGGTTAGTCCGGTCCGGGGGGCATCAGTCAGATTGGCAACGACAAGCAAGAGGGAAAAGATTATTACACTTACATACGTTTCTACACTTGAATTCACAGATCTCGAGACCTGATCCAGGTAAACTTTCCCCAAAACAAATGAAAACCCCATATTCCAGCACCGTCTTTCACATAGGCACGTAGGTAGTGTTGCTTTCTAATTCTTTCCCGGCCCTTCCTTAGCTATCGACCCCACAGATGTATGTATGCAATTACTCTAATTGATTGCATGATCCTTGGCCCTGCCATGGTACCGGGCTGGGCTCCAGCCTGGTATGGCGGGGTTCCGCCCAGCATCAGGTAAGGGGGGGGGGGGGGGTTGCCACATTCGAAGAAGAGAAGTAAAGTAAAGAAAGAAAAATGAATGGATGAGACAAGTCGATGTCAACAGAAACTTTGAACCCGAGACTGTGAGTATCTAGCCTTGTGGGCAGCGGGTGTAGCAGAAGTGTTCGTTCATCGCTGCATGCCCTGTCCGTGTCTGCGCGTGCACCAGCCCAAGAACCTAAAAAGAGGATACGTAGGGCCATACAACCAGCGACAGGCGGGGTTGGCGGGGTACGTGTGTGTGTGTGTGTGTCTGTATGTTTGATGGAGGGGAAATTGACGGTACGGAGCTATCACGATCATGTAGAGTAGAAGCTAAGCTACTCTAGCTTGACGAGATCTGTCCCATGCGGCAGACAGCCAGGCAATCAGGCAGCCAGGCCAGACATCCAGTCAGGCGCAACAGAAAAAACCTCCTTCCCCGGCATCACATCCTATCATCCTATCATCCTATCATCCTACCATCCTACCATCCAATTTGTCTCTGTCCTTCGTTTTGCCCGCTGCTCCCACGTACATACTCTCCGGGTCTACCAATGAAAGACGAGTGACGGATCGTGATCCACGCTGCAATCAATCTCAGCGTAGATTTCTTTTTTTTCTCTATCGACTTTTTTCCTTTCTTTTTTTTTCCTTTCTTTTTTTCACACATATCAAGAGGCACAGAGAGATCCCTGCGTACTACATATGTGCCATGGCCAGCCAAATGTCAGCAATCTAGAGCTATGATGCCTGTCTGCCTCTGCCTGTGCCTGTGTAAGTTATGTAGATTGATTATCCTCTATTCGAGTGCCTCCTTAGCCTTAAGGCCGGTCTTGCGAAGACGACTACGACGACGACAGACTTAGAGGTCCCTTAGCCAGCCAGCCAGTCAACCAGCCAGCCAGCCAGGGCCGGAGAAGTAGACGTGGGAAGAACGAGGAAGAAAAAAGAGGGCTCCCTATTTCACCCGGCGGCGGGAAGGGCTGGGGAGAAAGAAAGCAAAGAGAGAAAAAAAAATTAAACACATCCCAGCAAGTGTTCGTTTCAAGTTGTTTGTAAAGAGGACCGAGTTTTTTTTTTCCAGCTTTTTCAGCTACCGGGGTACGGTACCTGTTGCGAATACCACTTTCCTCTAGCTTCGACCACCATATTGGCCACATTACGTGCCGTTCCACCACTTGCACGAGTGACAGTCTGTGACTTCCTCAAAACCGGATTAATTATTTTTCTTCCCTCCCCTCTCCCCTCTCCCCTCCCTACCCCTCCACCCCTTACCTCCCACTCCCGGGCCCGCCGGACGGAAGATATCTTACGACACACTTGCCTGCATTGCAAATCCGCCACTCTATTTTTCTATTTCCCGAAGGGTAATTAATTCTCTTCTACCCTTATAGAAACCCTAACCCTCTGAGCGGGGTTCTCCGAGATTTTATCCGTGTTGCTACTTCTCCCCCCAAGACTCCAAGACCCCAAGACCCCAAGAGTGCACTACATGATACCTCCTAGGTATCTCTGCTAGAGTACCTCCACGAGTAAGAGTAGCACTACATAACAATACCAAGATGGCCTCCACACACAACAGCAACGTCCAAGAGAAGACCGCGTCACGGAGCGTTTGAGCCAAGTGTGACATCGTATGATTTTTTTCTCTTTCTCTGCTCCTGGGAGAAAAAAACTTACGAAATGCCAGTAAGTACCTACTTGTTGCGGCGGCGGGCGGTTGGGGTACTCTACTTTGAATATGCCAGGTAGGGGTATAAGGGAAGTATGTGGAGTCTTGTACTCAGGCAAAGAGAGGCTCTCTCCAGGGCCCATCAGATCAGATTATCGTCTATATCTCTATATCCCATTCGCACTTAACCTTTCCCTACCTACTGCTGCTTCCTGCCCACATACAGCAAAGGAGAGTGTCCTCCTCGGCCAGTTTCCAGTCTTGGTCTTTTCTTCCGCCAATTTTTCCTTCCCCCCCTCTCTCCCCTCCCTGCACAGCAAAACCTTCTTCGTCGGCCATCGTCATCGTGTCCCAGCTAGAGCAGATGCTCCGGTTACAGCTCAATTCAATTGGGCGGACCAGTAGAGTATATGTCGAGTAATAATAATAAAGTTTTTCTTTGTTTTGTAAGGTAGAGCAAGAGCAGGTTATATGCGTGGATACGTCTTTGGCAATTACCACTTAGCAAATCCCATCATGGCCCGCATCAGAGTTTTGATAGAAGATCGATTGCTCGTGGAATCTGCCCTGTAGTGTAAGTTGACCAGCTGAGTGAGTGTCTGTCTCAGCTACCAACCATCTTCCTCCACTGCTTCCTTTACCTTTACCTTTACCTTTGCTAACCTACAACTATGACGAACAATGATTCGTGACTATTTCCCTCCCCCGGGATCACTCACTCACACCCACTCAAGACTCTAACCCCCCCATCCCCCTAGCCAGCCATGAGGGTGCTCTAGTTACCCCAAGTACGGCTGCAGCTCGCGTGCATCTACTGATCTAGCACATGCCGAACAGCCAAAAAAACATGGGAAGGGAAACAAACCCTCCCTCCGCACTAAACGTAACCTAATCTACATGTCCGTACCTAATCTACCAGGGTTAGGTTAGGGCTGCATTACGTGGGTGCTGTGCTGCACGCTTCATTTCCGAATGCGATCCCGTATCGCCCGCGCGCCGGTTCAATGGAAGGGAAGGGAAGGGAAGGGAGTCAACGAGGGAACAAGGGAAAGGGAACGGGGGAGAAGGAAAGAGAGGAAGCGAGAGCTAGTCCATGACGTATCGGTTGAATTCTCGGGCCGCGTGCGGTGAAAAGTGGGTTAACAGGCAGCTAGAGTAGCAATATAGGGCATAGATCAATCGAACATGTTATATTTTATGAACAATGGCAGATATGATTTAATGTTTCGCATTTTTTTTCTCTTCCTTCTCTGTTTTGCATCTTTGGTAATGGAGCAACAGCCTACCTACCGGGTGAGAACGGGCAGAGATCAGAGTCGAGGGGAGAGAAGAGAGGACCGCGTGCGCGGTGGATGCGATGTGATTCGAGAGCTGAGATATTCGTGCGTAGGCAGGCAGACAAACAGGTAGACAGGCATCATGGGGTAGATATTACTAGCTGCTAGATCAGTGAGTGAGTGAGTGAGTGGGGAGTGAACGATCGAGTGAGTAGTAGCACAAGTTGCAGTCAGTAATTAATATTGGTGGTGGCATGTAGTATTAATTATTTGTCTTTTGTCCAAATCAGACGACAAACAGAACAGTCACAAATAACATCCATGACATGATATTAATGCCTACAATTAATCCCCGGGGACAACATGTTGGATACAGTATGTAGGAAGAATGCATTACTATACTTTACTGACATAGGTAGCCCTTCTCCCATGTGCTTTAGTTTTAGTTCTTACTCAGGGTCTCCCCGGCCGGCGAGGGAGGGAGAAAACGAGATAGAGATAGAAGTGAGATGGAGAGGAAAGAGGGCTGATGAGTAGTGACATGAGTGATCCATGGTGCCTAGAAAACTGAACCACACGGGTACATTTTCCTTTTGCCTTGACTTACCTACACCCTACCGAACCTCTCTCATATCATGTTCTCCGAGGCCGCCCCATCCCATCCAGAAAGATACTTTTAGATAGATCATAAACAATCTACAATACTTCTCTACCTACATACCTACATGTAGTTTACCCTACATACCTCTACTCCCCAGGTCAATATGGCCAATATGCGTGGAAGAATACATAGATAGATCACAGACCGTATTTGCTGCAGTCAGCATTCTGAAAACTGAACTCTTTTCGATCCCAACCCCCTTCAACCCGCACGTGGGTTTTGCAACCCTCGTTTATATATATGGCATAGCTCCAAGCTTTAAGACCAGAGCAGCAACGATCGACCTCATTAACCCTCCCCCCCCCCCGGGGGGGCTACTACCCCCCGTCTATTTTACCTTTTTTTCCTCCCAAAATAGGATAGAGCATCACCTCGATCTAGGTAGTTATCTAGGGGTAGGTAGGTAGGCTGATGTTTCGTTTTGCAGCAGCATCAGCGGCGGCAGCGGGCAGGGTTTGAGGTAAAGTCGGCACGCACCCACAAGCAGCCTGGCGCAACATCTACACGGGAGAGCCAAGTCGAAACGTTCTCGAAGCCTGGGAATTTGACGAACATCCCCCCAGAACCGGGCCGCGCGTTCGCATTTGGATGGATTGGACGTTGCATGGGTGATCAGACACCAGCAAGCCACCAGTGGAGATCAGGGAGGGAGGGTGGTAGAGTAGAGTAAAGCATAGCGGTCCCTGTAATAGCCTCCAGCTCTATGGGGTATGGGGCCCGACAGACATTGTTTTTCTGCTTTACCTAACTTTGAGACTTCACGATGGTTCGATCGGGCACAGATTGGACATCATGGGTTCTTTGGGAAGTGACGGTTGTGGTTGTGGTGGTGCAGGTAGTGGTGGTAGTGGTAATGATCTGGTTGTAGGTGGTGGTGGTGGACGATGAGGAGTGGAAAGATAACGACCACCGCCATCCAAGGATTGCTTTTCTTTTAGGTGAAGCTCAGTCAGTGATCTGTCTGCCTGTCCGTCGTGTGTCTCCGTCTCTTTCCCGCTGTTGCTTCCTGCTTCCTGCTTCCTGCTTTTCTGCTTTCTCCCTCCTTTCCCGGCTACGCTCTCGGGACGAACCTCTGAAAGATTTACCACCCTAGCCAAACCCAATCTAACCCCAAGTGAGATCCCTCGCCCGCACATCGCTAGTTCGGTAGAAATTTTAGCTAAGCGTTCTTTATTTTGGTGGCCCTCGCTTGCAGCTAGCCGAATTGATGCGATGGATACCCCCGCAAAGACAATTCTGACCTTCTTAAGGCTCAAGCGTCGTTCTGTTCGGTTGGGTTGGCGTTGTGGAGAGGGTTTGCCTAACCTTCTGAAAGGTCCGAACTGATGTGTGTGTGTGTGAGTGTGTGTGTGGCCTACATTTACATACATGACCTTTTCTCAAAATCGCCTACGTGCTCTAGAGCAAGTGCACACCTGCTATCTATGCCACGCCGGATTCTCCTCCTCAATTGAACAGTGCAATGGCGAGACATAGGTAGAGCGCTCATGACTCCCCACCTCCTCGCCCTCCTTCTTCTCCGAGTAGGTAAGGTAGGACTGTGTCGGAGCGAACAAAGAAGATCATGTGATATGGGTCGAATATTGGTTAGTGGTGCTTTCCACTTTCACACATCACTAGGATAAAGGTAGTAGGCACAGAGCACGGGGCAGGTGGAGGAGAGATAAAGTAGGATAGCTATCGTAGGGGTAGCTCTGATTTGCCAGAGATGAGCTTGGGGATAATTGCAGACACCAATTCTAACTAGGGTGCTGCTTGCCAGTGCCTGGGAATGATCCGTTGTTCCCCATGAGGATTTCCTCTTTTCATCCCAACAGTTGGTTGGACTTCTGGGCTGAGATGAAGTATCAATTAGTGACGTCAGGAGGCCAGATAGCGCTTATGATGATGGTGCTGATACAAATCAGTCATGTTTGAACCGACTCAGCCTTAATCTGAAGGCTATCCAACGGGGAGGCAGAGAATGGGCCAACGAAAGGTTATCATGTTTACTCTTCGATTCTTTTACCGGACCGATATAGGGACCCTATTTTGAGTCGCTACAGGAGGAAGTCCTTGCCGTCAGGGTCCCCTGGACGAGGTAAGGAAGAGGGAGAGAGGAGGGGTGGTGGGAGTAGCGATGGATAATTGAAAAAAAAGGTAGAGAAAAAAGGAAATCGCAGAACAAGCAAAGAAGAGAGGTGACAGCTGAAGGTACCGGAAGAACGGTTCCGAGATGCCCCAAGGCTGGTGCCGTTGTCGTTCAGTAGCATATGCACCCGTTTTGGGAAACCGTCTAACCAGAAATAGTTGAAGTCAATGTAAGTAATCTATCGATACATCCATCTGGGGGTTTGTCAACGGTTGCCTGGCGGACTTACATACTACTGACAGTATCGTCTGTGGAGAAGGTCTAGTTTTTGGAATTCAGGTAGCGAAAGGGGAAGCGAAAGAGGTCATACATACGCGATTTCTGGTCTTATCTTCGAATTCATGTACTCTAGGTACACAAATGTATACAATTTTCACGGGGAAGGAAGGACAGGATATCTTTACTCCATGTTAATGCACTCGATCATCCATTCGAGCTGCTGTCTGGTTATGTGAAAGTGAGGCTGTCGTCGGTGGTTGGAGTGGCAGGCATTGTGGTGATCCGCGTTCTAGTACCTGGTGGGTTGCGGCGGTTTGTCCCCAAAATTAACAAAAAGAAAAAAGTAACATCCACCCCCCGAAAAAGAAAAATGGAAAATCATATCAATCAGTAATCTTCCCCCCCAGAAGTCAGAACCCCCCCCCCCCACTAGTCACTCACCCTACCTACCTGCCCCCTTTGCGTCTACTCTATGTAACTTTGCCCCGCCCCGTCTCATCCCATTCATAAAGTTCCTCGTCCTCGACCTACCTATGTCGCCCTCCAGTGAAGGTTCGTCGTCATCGCCAACAGTGATCGGTCGGATCAACAACTTGCGCTTTGTTTGTAGAAGGGACCAGTAACAACAGTTGAGCGATAGAGAGAGGGAGAAAGGGCGAGAGATCCTGATAGTTAGAGAGGTAGAGATCTGTTGGACCGTTTGAGCTGTGAGTACATGCGTACTTACAAAAGGTGGGTGATGTTCTGCCCCTCCTCCTCTGGAAACCGTTTGACCACGATCCCCCTCCTCCCCAATCCGCCGTTCTGGGCCAGTGCAATCTCTTTCAGAGTCTCCCCCTGCAACTGAACCCATCCAACTGACGCAACATCAGTCATAGAACATTCTACATACCTACTTTAGTGCAACAGACGTCCATTAAAAGTTTTACAGCAAAGAGAATCTAGCCGTGCCCCAGGGGAGCATTTGTTTTGGTGACTTTGCTCTGCTCTGCTTGGAACTTTAAAAAAGATCTCCCAAGGCTCTGCGAACGTGTCAACAGGACAGTATTCAAATACCGTTAGAGATAATCACCATCCGTCATATGCTTCTCATATCCTCTATCTATAACATCATAACAATCCCCTCCAGCCAATTCCATAAATCGTAAACCTACCAGTATCCCTTGTTCGTAATCAATTCCAAGGCCGCTACTTGCTACTATCATGGTTGGCACAGCTCCTTCCCCCAACATAGAAACTACCTCACCCCCGTCTGAGAACGACCTAGCCCCTTTACATAGCTCTTCCGAGTCACTACTTCTCCCAAAAGACCTCACCATGATAGAGGTTCCGCATCCAGCTGGCCTTATAACTCAAAGATTAAAAGACACTACACCTGCTCCCACCGATTCTATTTCCCCCACTACAGCTCGTATAGTACCTACGGATACAACCATGAATGCCGCAACTACCATTACAGCTACAGCTACAGCTACAGCTACAACATCAGAAGAGCCAACTCGGAACGCTGGACCGAAGCCCTCAAAAACGTGGCACCATAGCCCAAGGACCTCACCTGGACCCTCCCCTGATGTAAGAGCTCGGAACAAGAGTCTCTCAATTACACCGATATCTCTTCCTCCTGCTAGTGCCATGAGTGCTCCTTTGGTTTCCCCAAGTTTACAGTCAGCACCGCAGCCGCAGAAAACAAGCTTGATGCGAAGAGTATCAAAAAAGCTTCGGAGAAGGACATCTAACCATGCGCACGACCAAGATGAACGAAGCGGACCCCTGATTATGAGACATCGCAGCGACAGCTTCACGGGAATAGGAGGGGGCGCCGGAGAGCTGGGGCGTATGGGAATTCAGGACGACATTAATTTTGACGACGAAGATGAGAATGCATTAATGTTTGAGGCGTTAGACGGGAATGATGGCGATTCTTCTACTGTAGGCAGAGAGAGAAGTGGATCTGTTATGGCCGTTCAACAGAGTATCATGGAAGGAGTTTTGGTTCCGGAGGTGCTACAGCATGGGATTTCTTTAACGCGGGTGACTAGAAAAAAAAGAATCTCGAGAATATTCACGCTCGATGTGAAGAATGCACGAGTTTCATGGGATCCTACAAAGCAGTCATCGAGATTCTATGTCGATGATATAAAGGAGATACGGATGGGACATGATGCAAGGAATTATCGCGAAGAGTTTCAGATTCCCCTGGAGATGGAGGACCGCTGGGCGACTATCATCTATGCCGAGCCGGAATTGGATGGAAAATTAAAGACACTTCACATTATTGCACCAACCGTTGATATCTTCAAGTTGTGGACCACAACCTTAGAGAGGATCCTTCGATATAGAACTGAGTTGATGGCGGGCTTGGCTATGCAAGGAGAGAAGTTTGTTGACGCTCATTGGAGAAACTACATGGCTACCCGAAACACTATTACGCCACCCCAATCTCCAAAGGTCGAAAGACTTTTGTTCGAGGATGTTGAACGCCTTTGCCGACGCCTTCATATAAATTGCTCCCGCCAGTTTCTTAAAGACCGTTTTAAGCGTGCAGACAAAGACAACTCCGGCTATCTGAACTTCCCCGAGTTTCAGAAATTTGTGCAGCTATTGAAAGAGCGGGAAGAGATAAAAGATATTTGGAAAAATGTTGTATTCGATATGGAGTCAGGAATGACCAAATCTGAATTCAAGGCTTTCTTGAGGGACGTCCAAAAGGTTGATGTTGTTGCCGATAAAGCTTATGTTGATAAGGTATTTCGCAAATTCTGCCGGAAGTCCGCACAGCATCAACGTGCACACTCAGAAAACTTCACCGGAATAGTTCGTTCGGCGGCGGATCATATTAGGGATCATTCGGAGGATGCACGAATGACAATATCTGCTTTCTCTGACTTTCTATTATCAAGTTCTTACAATCCCCCACTCCTTACATCGACACCATCTGAGAACCTTGTCCTTGATCGACCTTTGAACGAATATTTCATCTCGAGCTCCCACAACACCTATCTCCTAGGCCGTCAAGTCGCAGGCGAATCCTCAATCGAAGGTTATATCCGGACCTTGCAGCACGGGTGTCGTTGTGTTGAGATAGACTGCTGGGATGGAGATGATGGGCGCCCAATCGTTACACACGGCCACACAGGTACTTCCGAGGTCTACTTTATGGATGTTGTTGCAGCTATTGGGAAATACGCCTTTTTGGCCTCGCCATATCCTTTGATACTCTCGCTCGAAGTCCATTGCAGCCTGGGACAGCAGATTGTCATGGCAAACATTCTTCGAAACGTGTTGGGCGAAAAACTCATTTTAGAGCCTTTTATTACGAACTCATTTATCCTGCCGAGCCCACAAGACTTGAAACACAAGATTCTGGTAAAGGTCAAAGGAAGTATTAGGCAAGAATCACCATTACTCAAAGACGATTTCATTGCAAATCGTTCCGCCGGAAGTCTTTCTAGCTCCCCGACTAAACAGTGGATTACTGGGAAAGGTGTTGCTTCCAGTGCAAGCAGCAGCGGAACAAGTGCTTCAGATGATTCAGACAATCCGGACGGATCTAAGAAACAACAGAGAAGGCCGTCGGCTAAAATAGCGCCTGAGCTGGGGGCTCTGGGAGTTTATTGTAGGGGACAGAAATTTGTGAACTTTTCACTTCCTGGTAAGTTCTGACCTCTAGACCCGTGATCTATTGGGGTTGAGATACTGACGAGCTCGCAGAGAGTAAAACCTTTAACCACGTTTTTTCGTTCCAAGAGAAGAGATTTGAAAAGTTTTGCAAGGACTCGGAGAAAA